CCACACAAGTGGGGCGGAGCTTGTCGGGCACGAGGCCCTAAACAATCACGCCTCTCCAGGAGAAGCCAAAGCAGAGCTGACCAATAAACATGCCCCAACGTCATTGTATTACCGGGAAGCCACGCCCACCAGGCTGTTGCTCTACTGGACGATGAGGTAAAAGTTTAGTGGAGCCCGGAGAAAGGAGAGTGCGCGATGTTGCTGGCGGATCAAAGTCAGCAGTGGCTCACCGCGCGCGCCAAGGTGTCGGTGCTGCAGGCGCGCGGCCTGCGAATCAAAGGCAAGCTCGGCACGGACGGCGCGCACGTGCTGCTGCAGGTGGGCTCGCAGAAGTTCAGCACGCCGAAGGGGCAGCAGCAGCGCGCGGACCCGGTGTGGGAGGGGCAGGAGGCCGCGTTCGAGCTCACGGGCTTCCCGGAGAACAGCGCCGCCCTTCGCGTGCAGGTGCTGCAGCGCGCGCTGGTGGGGCCGGACAAACTGCTGGGGCAAACGGACATCAACCTGGGAGAGCTGTACAGCAACAGGGGCCGAGACAGGACAGAGTGAGTGAGGCTGTTTACGCTGTTTACGTTTGTTTACCGCTCCTGGAGTGACGTAGAGCGCCCCCTGCAGACCGCAGGCCCTGTGCCGTTATCACTGCTTTATAATCTTTACAATGACAAAGCTCAATTTAAGGTTCTCATTGGAATTGTCCGTTCCACCTTAAATGGTGAAGCAGTAACATTCTGGCAGGGGTCTATTTTACTTATTTTAGTGTTTATTTATTGGAACCCTCAGGGCCTTTTAAGTCTTCAGATATATATGAGTTACTCTTTCAGTAGTGAGCTCTGGTAAACGGCTGTCACCACTGTTTTCCGTTTCTAACAGCCCACCAATTAGACTGCCAGTCAGTGACTTGTCTAGAACTTGGATCTAGAGTGACGTGTCTTCTCACGAAGTTGGTCCCGCTCGTTTTAAATCAGAGCATTGCTCTTAAGTTGAACTAAGTTGAAACCTAGGCTACCTAGCAGTTAGCGATTTATTCTATGTTAGCTACTGTAATTTTTAATTTTGTATGTTAATTCAGTTCAGACTCAGCTTAATGTTACCACTTCCTTCCTGATGAGCTCATTTAGAGTCTGAAAGTATCCTAATTATTCTTGTAATTCTGGGAACATTTTCTGATAAACACATTTAGATTGTCAAACTATCCTACCTACAGTTTTAACATGAGGCTGAAGTTGTCTTCCCATATGCCAGATTCTTTTGGTGCTGCAGTTATTATTATAAAGCCACAGACGCCAGAATGTAACTGCAGCACTATTTAAACTGGAATGGGACAATTTGTACAAGAAGCCGGCAAATTAGGAACATCGTGGTTTTATTGCTGGTAGTGTTTTGATAAGGTGATTTAAGCTGTCAAAATATCCTACCGAGAGTTTTCATGATGCAGAGAACCCTTTAATCATGCAAAGGGTTCTTTGAGTGTTCATGGTTCTATATAGAACCATTTTCTTTACTAAAGAAGCCTTGAAGAACCATCATTATTAATAGTGGATGTAGATCAAATTAACGTTACATAAATACAGATAGCAGCCATATTATATGGCCATATTTGTCCTGGAGTTGATACTGACCGGTCAGGAACCGGTACCAATTTAGTACCAGTTTTCAGTACACATCCCTAGTTATGAGGTTACAGAAGTGTATTTTGTCTGCTGGCAGTGTTTAGAGGCCTCCTGATTAACCCCTGCCGATCCTGAAGGTCTAAAACTGCAGCAGGGCAGCTTTAGTGCATTTATCTGAAGATCCTACTGCTGAGTCATTGTAGGAGTTTACTTGGAGCGAAGGTGATGTTTTATCTTGCTTACATTTTGATGTCTGCACAGTTTTATCCAAGCATTTAAACACATTTTGAATTAGAAAACAAACCGAGTGCCCGATAATGGTCAGAGGTTGTTATAATCCTGTAAGGTCAAATTTTAAACCCCACAATAATCCTCCTAATTCTGAAGCTAAGGGCAGAGCCCTGGAGTGAATACCTTCATTGTTGCTGAAGGAGGTTGAACACAGGCTGTGTGGTGATTATTTTGTTTCAGGATTTTACCCCTTCACTACCTCACTTGGCCTTAATTTTTGGAAGCTGGAGCTTTATAGTGTCTAAAATCTCAGCTCACAAAGTAGCAACCACCTGAAACACTGAGTGGAGCTGCAAATGATTCATCGAAAGTAATTAGTCATTAAACATGCATTGTCGACTGCAAAACAAAAGCACTCTTTAATGCTGTATAATGTTGATATGGCCTGCACAGTCATTCTGACAGACTGTAATACACTACAGGAAGTGTAGGGGGCGATATGGCTTGAGAAATATTCAGTAGATTAATCTCTTACAAAAGATGGTTCTTCAAGGGTTCTTAAGTAAAGAAAATGGTTCTATATAGAAACATAAACACCTGAAAAACCCTTTGCATGATTAAATGGTTCATTGCATGGTGAAAGGGTTCTTCAGATTGATTGAGAATGTGTTGTATATGGTTCTATATAGCACTAAAAAGGGTTCTTCTATTGTTACAAGATAGACATCGTCACAATAGTGGAAACCTTTCTGGTGCCAAATATATCATAATTACCATTTAAAAAAATGCATAGAACCATTTTCTTTACCAAAGAACCCTTGAAGAACCATCTTTTTTAAGAGTGTAGAGGAATCCTGCAGCACGTCTCCTTTGAAGGCTTTACTTGTGTCAATGTCTTTAATTGATCAGGTCTTTGTGTTACAGTTGCAGCTGAAATGTGATTCTCATTCTGAACTGAAGCTCGACACGAGAAAGGAAAGCTGATCTGGTTTCTTGAGCAGTGTCAGGCCCAGTGTGTTCTAGATTGGGGATGCCAAGCTTTTGAAAATGTTTTACAGATGAACATCTGTGTCAACATGTGTCTGTTAGGTGTAATTCTTCTGTTGTAATGATGGCAAGCTTCTAACAACAGCAGAACCCTTTTTGGTGCTGTATAGAACCACATTCAACATATTCTTCATCAATTTGAAGAACCATTTCACCATGCAAAGAACTGTTTAAGCATGCAAATGGTTCTTTGAGGGTTAATGGTTCAATATGCCACCATTAGTCCTCATTTACCAACCGTTCTTAAGAACAAGTTTCTTCTTAAAATCCACTTCTGACAAAAGATTCTGACATTCACCCAAGTTTTCTTAGGTAAGAACAGAATCTACACACACTCAAGAGCACAAAGGTGAGAACAGTTCTGCGCTTTAAGAACACGTCATGAATCTGACGTAGACTTTTTCTTAGGACCTTTTTCAAGAACACACTTAAGAACAAACATAGGAACATGTTGGTGAATTGTCTTTACTAAAGAACCCTTGGAGAACCGTCTACCGTGTTAAGAGCGTAGTTTATGGCCTAAACTAAAGGTCTGGCTTTAATAGTCACACTGCTGATGTAGGTGTTGCTGTGAACATCAAGGACAAGCCCTCATTCCTTCTTCCCTTTTGTTACTGCCACACACACAAACACACACACACAGTGTGTGAGATAAAAGGTGGCATTGAAACATGAAGCAGCTGTTTAGTCACGGATGGTGTTTATTATTTAGTATCAGAGTGAGTGGGAGAGCGAGGTCTGTTCCAGAACTCAAGTTTTTTCATACAATCTACGTCTCTGTCAGACCTTGAGAGGTCATTTGCTTAACCCCAGGACCAGTAAACTAGTGAAAGACACACACGACATCCATTTTAAGCACTTCTTGCAAAAGTAGAACCACAGAAAGATTTCAGAACCTCAGGTGTGTTGAAAAGTTTAATAGATTACGTATTATAATTTGGCAGTTAAAAAAAATCTTTTGGCACCTGATTGTTTTCTTTTAGGTCCCAGTGACTCCTTAAGCTCATTTTCTGTCTGGAGTGCTGTAATGTGTTATTCACTTTTACTGATATCGTGGCGCCTTTAAAAGACTACTGCGTGTGACATGAGTAAAATTTGCAGTATTTTCTGTACAGATTAATGTGATATTATGGATAATCACAATTTTTAAACTAGAAAATATTGTGCTAATTATTTGTACATATCACCCAGGCCTACAGCTCACATTTAAAAAATGTAAGAGGAGGGGGCCTGCTACAGGAAGGAGGAAAACTTACAATACTTTTTTTCAAAAGAATGTCAAACATAATTAATGCATGAATGAAAATGGTAATATGTTAAAAATTGCTGAAAATCCTTCATTTTTGCATGAATGTTTCTGATAATCTTTATGAGCTCTGTTAGATTTCACTGCAGGTCTGAGCTCAGCAGAAGTTGCACTGTTCATCTCTCAGTGGACTTTTGACTCATTGAAGTAACAAATGCTTGTAGTTGTGATTGTAGTTTGGAATTTTTTTTACCACAGACATTTTTGGTTTGGTAGTTCTTGGAATGGTTTGTTTGGTAGTCTGGTATGGTTTGTTTGTTTCAGGTATGGTTTGTTCTTGGTGTGGTTTGTTTGGCTGTTCTTGGTACGGTTTGGCTGTGTGTTCTTGGTATTGTTTGGTGTTGGTATGGTATTGTTTGTTTTTGGTATGGTTTTGGCTGTTCTTGCTGTGGTTTGGCTGTTCTTGCTATTGTTTGGTATGGTTTGGCTGTTCTTGCTATTGTTTTTGTCCTTGGTGTGGTTTGTTTGGCTGTTCTTGGTACAGTTTGGCTGTTTGTTCTTAGTATTTCTTAGTAGTTTGTTTAATAGTTTTTGATATAGTTTGGCTGTTCTTGGTATGGTTTGGGATGGGTTGGCTGTTCTTGGGATCTGTTTAATCAGCACGACAGCAGGTGGGAAAGCAAGATCTACAGAATGTTCTAGAGCCAGACAACATTTCAGAGCTGATTCAGGACGTGAACTAACATTACACTTCTTACAGGAAAACAGATCAGAAGAAAAAGATCATTTCTTTTGTGCGTCTTAAAGATGGCATGTTCACCATGCAGAGAACCCTTTAGGCATGCAAATGGTTATATATGTTTTATGTATAAATGTTTTCCATATACACTGATAAGGCATAACATTATGACCACCTCCTTGTTTCTATGCTCATTGTCCATTTTATCAGCTCCACTTGCTATATAGGTGCACTTTGTGGTTCTACAATTACAGACTGTGGTCCATCTATTTCTCTACATACTTTGTTAGCCCCCTTTTACCCTGTTCTTCAGTGGTCAGGACCCCCATGGACCCGCACGGAGCAGGTACTATTTGGGTGGTGGATCATTCTCAGCACTGCATTAACACTGACGTGATGGTGGTGTGTTAGTGTGTGTTGCGCTGGTCTGAGTGAATCAGACACAGCAGTGCAGCTGGAGTTTTTAAACACCTCAGTGTCACAGCTGGACTGAGAATAGTCCACCAACCAAAAATATCCAGCCAACAGCGTCCTGTGGGCAGCGTCCTGTAGCCACTGATGAAGGACTAGAGGATGACCAACACAAACTGTGCTGCAGCAGATGAGCTATCGTCTCTGACTTTACATCTACAAGGTGGACTGACAAGGTAGGAGTGTCTAATAGAGTGGACA